GGCGGCGGGACGGCGGGGCGGGCAGCTCGCTGTGGGGACCGGGACGTGCGTTGCCCTGCTGCCGTGGAAGAGCTGGAGTGTTCTGCCCTCAGAGCGAGTTTTCTTCCTCGGCTCGGCCTTGCTGCAGAGGCTGGTGGTTAAAAATAAAGACACTGTTTCCTGCCAGGGCGAAAGCCTCCAGGGCGCATCGAGGTGTCAGATGCGGCCGCAGGATTGCGGAGAGCCGGTGCAAAGCGCACGGGTGCGTGCGTCTCCCCAGCCGCAGCGCGGTGCGAGAAAGCAGAGCGAAACTGCTCAAATCTAGGGTTGCCGTCGGCTCTCCGCAATAAAAGGGATGTGTTAACGCTGGGTCGAAGTGACTGAGGTCGCGCCTCCGTGACTGCCATGGGCAGTTTCACCTGCTGCACGTATGTGAGTACTAAGTGCTTGGTACGTGACAGCTTTCATCCGCAGGGCTGAGAACCCTGTGCTCCTCCACATGGGCCTGAGCTCGGGGCGCTACGAGAAGTGTTTCGTTGTTGGACTCTGCCGGCAGCCCTTTTTTTTAAGGCAAGCCAAAAATGAACAGTGCAAATCTAGAGGCCCACCAAGCAGCCTCCCTGCCTCCTGGTCCTGCTGCAGGTACACAAGGTGGAAGTGGAGCTGCTGCTCTTTGTCAGCCTTGCCCATTCTCCATTCCACTTACCAGAATTGAATATTTAACTGGAAGGATTCCAGAAAGAAAACTGGAGTCGAAACACAAGGCTCCAAGAAGTCACCTGCACAGAAGTTCATCTGTTAATCACGCATTCAACTGTTTGCCCAAAATCTCTAAGTTTAGAAAAAAAAATGGATTACTTCTGAGCTAAATCTATAAGAATTATTCACATATTCAAAAAGTAGTTCGTATGCCAGAGCTGTCTATACTGTCCTTAGTTCTCACCACTTTCGAACAGGGCTTCCACCATCTAATCATTCAACAGGCAACTGCTGAACACATTTAAACATTGTCATTCTCTGCTCTTTCTAGTGTCCAGGATGAGGCTGTGGACAAAAGCAGTAGTTCATATGTCAGAGCTGCCTACACTGTCCTTAGTTCTCACCACTTTTGAACAGGGCTTCCACCATCTAATCGTTCAACAGGCAACTGCTGAACACGTTTAAATATTGTCATTCTCTGCTCTTTCTAGTGTCCAGGATGAGGCTGTGGACAAAAGCAAGTTTAAGGAGTGCAACCAGATTGCTTTTTACAGGTAAGGAGAATGATTGCAGTGTAGATTTAAAATAATTTTTTTTAAAGTTGCATATTAATTTTAATTATATCAAGTCTGCTACTTTCAGCATGCACCTTTCAAAGTGAGTATTTCACTTGCTTCTAAACATGCAGCATCCAAAACCCCTTAAAATTCCTAAAACTGTCAGTTCTCTCATCTGACAAATCCCCTGCAGTATTTTAATTTGAGATAGAAACAAAATGCACATATTTGCCTGACTTTTAATTTTCAAAATGATAGAAATCTCAAGAGAAATAGTCTTTCAAAATTGTTGTCATTTGATCTCAACACTTTGTGACAATAACTTACAAGCTTACACTATGGTTGAGGAAGTATTTTGTCCAAAGTTCAGTATCCAACCTAAAATTACATTCAAAAGCCAAAAATACCATTTTGCTAGTGGGAGCAGGACTCCCTTCCTCTTTTCATATCACCCATCTCAATCTGTCACCATTTTAATGTAATAACTGATTTCTCAACAGGAACTTTCCACTGTTGACAAGCATCGGATTTTTTTTTTAAATCCTGTATCTCTCTGCCTGCATTTGTGCAATTTATGTTTTGAAGGAAACAAAGTCAATTTACCAATGAAGAAGCTTTCCTTTAAGGTTCTCAGATGCATTTGAAAAGTTCATAAAATCTTGGCTATGCAAGAAGCATCCTCAAAACAGTTGCGAAAGCCTTTTTTCTGGAACTCTTGTTTTAAAAACATCATCAGGGCTTAAAGTTGCAATCAAACTTGTAGCAGCCCATCCGGTCTTTGCTGATTCTCCCTTTTTAGTTCCTGCTTTTATTCGGACAGGCCCATCAGTAGGTGAGGCAAAACAAGGGACTTTTTTGGGTCTGTAGTCTCCAGAGTGTGTTTTGAAGAGGAATGTACTGGAGTGCACATCTGGGCAGTTGCAAACTACAAACACAAGTTCCGTCATCGCCACAGAATGTAGATACTGTTCATGAGGGTGCTGCAAACCAGGCAGTAGCAAATGAATGAAAGTAGTTTATTCAGCTGAAATTTCTGGAGTCCTAGAAAGAAACAGAATGTAACTGGACAATTTAGTATTTAGCTGGTCACTTGAATTAAACCTGTTACTGTTTGTTACTGTTTAAGAATTAAAAAAAAAAACAATGCATAAGGTGGTCAGTGGCTAAACCCTCTGTTTTACTTACCATTCATACATAAGTGTGGGTGTTCAGAATCATATACCTCTTTTTCCCCTTTTTCTTGGAGTACTGATAGTACTAGTATTTGAGATAGAGTCATTAAAAAAAAAAACCCAATCTAGTATTTTATCCCAATGTGCGATTTAAGCCACAACAGTTAAGGAGATCAAAATTACTTTTCTGTCTTGACAGGCGTCAGAAACTTCTACAGTCTGGAAAATCCTCATATAGAGCATTGTTGGATTCAGTCACATTAAGTGATGACAATGTGAAATTCCATATTATTCATGAGGACAATAAGGTGAGATCTCACCTTCCTATGAAAGTATTTACACTTATCACCTCATAAGAGAGTGTAAGCACTGCATTTTGTTAGTTCTCACCTTTTATAAGAAAGTTTCTGGAAATAGTGATTATTATCAACAGGTCTGATAATACTTGAGGTCTTGAGGTCCACTAGTGGTAGGTGTTTATGATATGATGCTAAGTAGCAGCATAAAGATATCTTCTCTCCACTATTCCAAAATAGTTAATTCTGTTTGCTTCGTGGAATACAAACACCTGGTTTTTAGCACTAACCATGCCTGCATATTCCTGTGTTTGCAAAAACAGCTTTAGGGGAGAATAGGTGCGCTGATAAGAGGAATGTCTTCCCTTTCTCTAAAGGAAGTGTAGCAGCTAGCTAGGAAAAGGATGACACAAATTTGCCTTGGATTGTTGGAGTTTGGAATTAGAGCACTCCCATTCCATGCTCTTGCTGTCACAGGGCAGAAACTGCATGAATTTATTTTCTGTCCCTCTTCGTGATCCTCACCTTTTTGCAGTCAGCACAGAAAAAAAAAAGCCTCTTTTTGCCGAAGCTTTAAGGTATTCAGAAAAGAGATGAAAGAAAAAAGAGGTAGCTTCTGTAAATTCAGATGACTGATCATCATTATGCTGCAATACTAACATGCATTAAATAAGAAAGCAGACATGCTTTTGTTTTCAGACAGTAAAGGTCTGATGACTTCGAGTTGAAAAGTAAATCGGTCATTTTATCATTGTCGGTGTACCTGTTTGCTTCCAGATTCTTCTACAAGTAGAAATTTGTGAAATAGAGGGCAACATTTTCAGGCTTAAAATCAATGAGGCAGCTCCTCTCAGGGCAAGGTACGAAGTTCCTGATGTTCTCATAAGGGAACCTACCACCCAGAGGTAAGTGATGAGAGATGATTTAACCTGGTATGTAATTATATAACTGATTTATATCAGTACTTTACACAGCTGCATTTCGAAGATATGTTTTCTTCCCTCTCATTTGTGCTGAACTTAGAGTTTTCTCTCTACAATATCAATAAGTTACAAAGAGAAAAAAATGCATGTGATGCATGTGATTGTTTTCAAAATTCATGTCAACTACAAAGGAGAAAGTATATTCCTGTACATTAGAAACTAGGCTATTTGTCCTAGGAAGAAATAGCCTACCAGTTACGATGCATAATTTTATCTAAAGCACTATCTGTCAATGTAAAAGGAATGCAAACTTTGGAAAATGTTTAAGGCAGTTTTGTAGCCACTTACTGCAATGGAGCCTGAGCATGGCATGTATTTTGGGGGTGTTCACCTCAACATGAGCCTTGTTTTTTTGTAATATATGCAGATATTCTCAGCCCATATTTTGTTTTAAATTGATATTTAGCTACAGTAAATCTCATGTGTTGCTGGTTCATATAAAACTGTCATTGATTTTCAATTGCAGGCTCTCTATATCCCATAAAGAAGCAGGTATATTGATGCTGAAGAGTGTTAATGAGGAGTACCAGCTTCAAGTCACGGCAAACCCCTTCCATATTGAGCTACAGTTCAAGGATGAGATTGTTCTGAGCATGAATTCCAATGGGTTGTTATATTTTGAGCACCTACAACCACCTCCCAGTGATAGGTATAGAATCTTTGTAGATGTACAGTTCTATGAAATTGCTATTTCTGTAGTGGAAGCCCTCACACCTTGAAACCTGGCATCTCTTTTACATTTACTATTAAAATTTGATTCTTAGAATTCGATAGTTAGAGCTCTCAACTATGATACTAGTTTTCAAAACAGTCACCAAAACTGCTGTAGAATGTATAAGGCAATGCATAATGCTTTGTGAATTTTCTGCTTGAAATCCCCGCTTACATTGTCAGTAAAATGTTTGTTTCTATATATTTGTGTTCACTAGAAAAACTACAGCAGAAAACAAAGAAAAGGCAGCAAGTGACTCCTCTAAGGTAACCTATACTTACTCTGTGATTATGGCATTAATATTTTATAGAAGAGAAACTTAATTTATTAGCATGACCTATTCATGATTTCTTCTGGTAGTGTACTTAAGAACAGCCAAACTGAAGGCTAGCCACACTAAAATGCAACAGATAGCAATGACTTCATCTTCATCATGACCCCAGATTGCAATGTGCTTTTTCTTTTTCTTTTTCTCTCTGTTACTGGACCTTATTACAGTGTGATGTGGTCTTTCTAGCCATCCTTTCATAGGAAAGGTGAATGTAATTTTTTCTTAGTCTAATCATTTTCTTCAGTGACTTTCAAAGGGGACCTGGTATTCCAGATTGAGATATTTTGCCAAATTCATAACTGAATTAAAGTTTATTTGTGTAGCAAAGGCTATTGAAAGCATCAGGTAGGTCTAGCTCTTAGTTAGATTTTTGTTTTCTTCTTAGTCTCTGCCTCTTAATTTGAAGCAGATGCATAACAGGGAGCTTCATAGTGATAGTTTCTCATTTTCAAATTCCCTTTTCCTTGCAAGGATGATTTGAAAGAGAACTGTTTCATACCTAGTCCAAAGATACATTCCACATACGTGCATGCTTACTACTACTGTAAGATTCTCTGTGAAAAAAGATATAGCCCTGGCAATGCCTAAAGACATATACCATTTTTCTCTGTGGCCTGTGTTATGCCCACGATGCAATTTTAGTCTCCTGTTGAGCAGGTGGCTGTTACTCTGCCGTGCTGTTGTAAATGGCAGGTACTGCTCTGCCTGCAGCACATCTAACATATGAACTCTGCCACAGAGTGTGCTTGCTCTGGGGCAGTCGCACTGCTGGCCAGGCCATGTCCACTTACTCTGGAATAAAATTAGAAAAGACCAATAGGAAAGGTATTGCAAAAAGTTGAAATTTAAGGACAATGAATAGCAAGGCACAAAGTTTAAATTTTGAGGGAGGCTAAAAGTATCAGTCATGCAAACAGGACTCTGGAGAGCCTACAGAGCTAATTTGTTTGGCGACTGTTTTGGGAGGGAGTTAAAATCACACAAAAAATCTATACAAAGAAAAACCAACATCTCTATTGATAAATTACATTGAATTTCATAAGTATGTTCAGAGTTCAGGAGCTCAGTTATTACTTTTCTGCTGTCCTCTGCTGTAGCAGAACACACTTTTCCTCCAGTAGCATGACAGTTCTTCAGCGTAACATTCATGCAGCAGAACCCAAATGGCATTTTTGATTCATATATACTAACTATATCTGACAAATAATCAGTTAATTTGAATAAGGATGTTTTTCTTAGAAGTATATGACCTGAGTAGTTGCATTTCCTAGGATTATATATTTTTGTTCATGTAGGGGAAACAAGAGGACCTAGGTCTCTGGCAAGAGAAATTCGACAGTTTTTTAGACATCAAAGCCCATGGTAAGTCTCGGTCTCGTTTTGAAAACAGCTTTACTGCTTTGTGTATAACTGTGTATACACCTGCCAGAAGTTGCTCTCGATTCAGACATGTGACAGGATGATTTCTGGCAGAGGCAATTGTGTGTTTTACTCCTCTGGCTGAGCCTGAAGAGATGAGCATTAGAAAACAGACAACTGAATCTAACAACCATCCAACTGTACCACTGTGCAGCACAGCTCAGCTTGTAGATTGTGGAATAGAGCCTGAAGATAATTTTAAGCAGTTTTAATACACAATAAATAAATGACCACAATTACATGTTTTTTTTGGTTGTTTGTTTGTTTCATTAAACTAATTCATTTTATCTCCTTAAGCAGATAAGAAGTACAGTAGATAAGTAATAATGAAGGAAAGGTGAAACAGCTGCTTAGTAAATTTTTTTTAAATTACTATTGTTTTCCATTATAGTTAAAATATTCTGCTCTGTTGCTTTCATCTACACCTGAGAATGCAACTTTGTGATCTTGTCTTTAAATTTAATTAGTCTTTTCTGATTTCCATAGGCCCTAGTTCTGTAGGTGTGGACTTCTCTTTACATGGATTTGAGCATGTTTATGGAATACCACAACATACAGAAACACTCCTTCTCAAAAACACCAGGTAAAGAGGTGACAGACAATAGACCACAATGCAGAATGTTCACTGAGTTTGGCAGAACTAAACCTAAGATTGGCCTCGTGCAGGATGCTTGCACCTAACTCATCTCTTTGTATGTTCCAGTGATGGTGATGCCTACCGGCTTTACAATTTGGATATCTTTGGCCACAAGATACATGACAAAATAGGCATTTATGGCTCAGTGCCCTTTCTCTTAGCTCACAAGCCCAACAGAACTTCTGGAATCTTCTGGCTGAACTCATCAGAAACGCTGGTGGACATTAGCACAAAGGCAGCAGCTGAGGTGAGAGTTGCCCATAGCCCACAAAATTCAGTAGTAAAAGAGAGCACTCCAGGGCAGAGATACAGGAGTGTGACAGCATCTTTGAAGAGAAATATTTTTCCTCCCAACGAAGTATGGTCAATATCTTCTGAGTTACTGCTACATTTATTTTGTTAAGCCTCTGAAAAGAACACAATGAATTATTTCAAATGGCAATTTATAGATTCTGTATCTTAACAGGTGTACAAGAGGAAGCAGAGAGGAAATATGCAACAGTAGAGCAGGAAAGCCTGTACAAGTGGATATAGCGGGCAGAAAAAAAAAAGGCTAAGAAAAATCTTGATTATCTTTTGGTACGAGGATTTTTTTTTTAATTTTTAATTCTCGGCATTGCCACTCATTCCTCCTCAACAGGCTCATTTTTTCTGTGGAATGCAATTGACTTTCAAGAAACATAAAGAATTTAGGAGATGAATTTACTTCCTGAAGTACAAATACATGAAATCTGCTAAAATGAAATACCTGCTTTATTCTAATAATCAATTATATTATTAAAATTATTCATTTTCTCTATTGCTCCTGAAAGATTTTAAAGCCCAGGCAGACAATACACAGTTTTTAAACAAGTTACAGAAAAGATTTTATTTACTGTGTTCCTCTATCACTTTTTTAATTAACTATAAATCTGCATTTTAAATATGCATTAGATAAGACAAAGGATTTGTAAAGGATATATAATAAACTTGAAGTATAATATGGGTTCCTGATAAAACTTCCTGAGTTTCCTCCTTTGCTCTGTATCTTGATTGAACAAACCTTTGATAGAGAGATTCAGCTTTAATTTGGTTCCCTTCAAAGCATGTGCCCTCCAGATCCACCGCAGAGACTGCTAAGCAGCGGGTGGTGCCTCGAACCGATGTGCGCTGGATGTCGGAGAGTGGGATC